GATATAATTTATTATTATTAATTTTTAATATATTATTCTTAGAATTGAACAATAATTAAAAATAAACATAGGACTTAGTTACATTTGTATGCGTGTGTGTGTGTGTGGTATATATGTGTGTGGTGTGTGTGTGTGTTTATGATTGTATGTAGTTGGTTGTTGTTGTTGCAGTTGTTGAAGTATTGCCAAGTAGTTTTTGTTGTGTCTTTTTCTTATCGCCAACAACAACGTTGTCGCTTGCACAGTTGTCTCGCGAGGTGGCAACGCTGCAAGCATTGTCACCGCTTCTATTCCTTCGCAAGTGTTTTTTCGTCTACTGTTGTTGTTGTTGGTATCGACATGTGATTTGTTTAATTTAACTTTTGTTGTTGTTTGGCCCTTTTCGCTAAATTTGTTTCATTTGTTGTTGCAGCTGTATGCAAATTTACAATTGTTATGGGTTTTCTTTACAGAGTTCGTTAACGAATTTTACATATACACTAAACATTATTTAATAATAATAATGGAAAAAACAAATAACAAAGAGCACACGATTTGTGAAGCGCAAAAAATAATAAAGATAAAGAAAAAGAGTAAGAGACAAATTTGATATTTGATTACAACTTTATGAACTTAACTGCAAAATTGATTTGAACGGAAAAAATAAACTAAACTAAACAGTGGACCAGCAATTGATCAATTAACACATATATACATGCACATATGTATGTGTGTATGCAAAGTAAAAGCGGCAAATAACAGGGAATTATAAATGATGTTGCTGTTGTTGATGTTCTTCTTAATCATCATCATCCTTATGTGACAACAATGGCGGCGCCCAACTGTGCATTTACAGTCGTTTTTTTTAGTTTTTTGTTTTTGTTGCTATATACAAACGGCCACCAGAGTTGCCACCAAGTTTTGTTGACATTTGTTATTGCTGGATGGTGATTTGATTAAATGTGGTGCACGATTTACTTGCAGTTGTTGTTTTAGTTGCTCTTGTTGTTGTTGATTGCTGGGCTGTTTGTCTACTTGTTGTTGGGTGTGTGTTGAATTATTGATTTATTTCGTGTACATGTAAATGGCAACAATCAAGCCGTAGAGACCCAACACTTCAGCGAAAATGAGAATCAGGATCATGCCGACGAACAGACGAGGCTGCTGTGCCGTGCCACGGACACCGGCATCGCCCACAATGCCGATCGCGAAGCCGGCCGCCATGCCCGAGAAGCCGACGGACAGGCCAGCGCCCAGGTGAATGAAGCCCCTATTCAATTGAAAGCGTGAGAGGAATTAGCTTCGCGACTTGTCCACAGATAACATGTAGTCAATACTCACTTGTACAGGCTATAATTCTGGGGAACATCAAGTTGGCCGGCAATCAGGACGGCGACGACCAGACCGTAAATGGCAATGATACCCGCCATGACCACAGGAATGATGGATTTCATGATCAGTTCAGGACGCATCACCGACATGGCAGCAATACCGGTACCAGACTTGGCAGTGCCATAAGCGGCGCCGAGTGCTAGGGAATAAAGAATAAAACAATATTATATTTAGTACAAATACTACAAATACTAAAACCCTGTATTTAATCCATGTCTATTTCCCCTTCAAAAATTGCTTAGGTAAGGTCGTATTGGTAAGCCTTGAATGAGCATTTGACTGATTGGAATATCATAAACGTTATATAATGGTTATGATCAAGCTTTCAAATACATGCATACGCACACATGTAGATCCCACACCGAAAATCATGTTGGCGTTAGCGAATTCTGTAAAACAACGTAACATTTAGCGGTCACATGACCCGCACTTCACGAAAATCGCTTACGTATGTACGCCAATACATATACATACATAACATATAACTGCTCAACAGTCAGAGTCAGAGTTGTCATTTGAGTGACTTTTTCGTTTCGCTTCGCTTCGTTTCTTTTTGTTGTGCTCACGCACACTCTCTTCTCATATTTGGGTTTGAGCCTACTCTCTTTATGATATTTATTTGATAAGGTCGAGCAAATGTGCTAGAGTTGCCAAATAACCGATGATTGTTATATACATACATACATACATGCATGTATACGTATGTATGTATATATTTTAAGTATGTGTGTACGTGTACTGAATATTGAAATATAAAACCAGTTTCATATGACAATGGTCAATGGTATTTGTTGAATACATTTTCAAAGCATTAGCGTCTGTGTGCGTGAAGCGCCAATAAATCGAATTAAAACACACATACAGTTATGTACAATAACTGCTGGTAGGCTAACAAAAAAAAAAAACAACTGCACATCTGTATAAATTATAAGTATATACATAAATAGATTTATATATGTATGCGTGTGTGAGTTTTGTAAGTGTGTGTGTGTGTGTGTGTGTGTGTGTTTCAGAGTTAACGTTAATGCCATTTGTCGGTGCGACAGCTGAGCGAAGAAAGAGATAGAGAGAAGAGTGAGCGACAGAGCTACAGTCACTGCCTGCGTTAATTGGCACTGTCATGTGACTTTCAATGCTAATTAATTTTTTCACTCAAATTGATATTCTATCGGTGCAAATTAAATGAAGGGCTCGCAAAAATACATACTAAACGAATAAAATCGTGTAAGTTTTACAACTGTATGGATATATAAAAAATAATAAAAAACATTCTTCAAGCTGTCGTGTTTCTTATAAATTTTACTAATAAACAAATCGAGCTGACGATTTCTCTATCGTGTCTACGTCATAATAACCGGAATATACTTGTTATTGTTTCCTTCTCTTTTTGCCTAATGCGAAATATACACATATCTATGTATATATTGTAGCTATTCAATACTAAGGAACAGAAGCAGAGGCATAAACAGAAACAGGCACAGAGAACACATTAATCGAAAGAAAATTTAAATTAAAAATTAAAATTGTCGTCTTGGGGATTACCAACCAAGTATATTTAAGTAAATAAAAAAATACATAAACCAAGTTTGTTTTCGTAGTCGGGTCATTTACATGCAATTGAAAATCTTTTGTGATATACCTAATTGGAATTAATGTATTAAATCCATGTATTTATATTTATAATCGCGTAGAGTTTTCGACTTCATTTCTACAATTACAACGTCCCAACGCCCAAAGAACAGCTGATCGATGCCTGGCTCATTGGATTTGGCCACTGACTGTAAGAAACTTAAGGGCTAGCGTACGCACACACGGACACATACATGCACACATGCAAAGCAAAACAGTTATAAGCGCGCGCCATTTAGCTTTTTTCAGCGGTTGCCCTGCATTCAAATTCGCAATTTTACATTAAGTAATAATTAAAAATTTTAATGTGGCATTGACTCGTTCGATTTTTTTTTTATCTACTCTCAATGGTACAGACGCATGGCAGACATTCGCGTGGGCGCCGTTAGTGAACAATACACAAGCCGACAAAGAGGAAAGGAAGAGGAGCGAGCATAAAAACAAAAACAAACAAGCAGCACATTTTAAGATAAATATAATGTGAGGAATATATGAAAGTATCAGGCGAAATGAATAAAGATATACGCATGTGTGTGTGACCAATATGCACACACTTGCATGCTCACATGTATATCGTGTACAGCACAACAGCAACAAATTGAAGCGTCACAGTTGAGTGCGCGACAAAAGAACCATGATAGAACGAGAAGCGGACAAAGAGAGAAGAGAGAGAGAGCGGGAGAGAGAGCAAAAGAACCAGCAGCAGTCGCTTATCAAACTTTGCTCTGAGAGATGAGCGATGTCGACGCAGTGCTGCTGCTCTTGCTGCTGTTGTTCGTGCCGTTTGAGACAAGTGAAAAAGTAAAAGGCATTGGAATGCACAAACTAGAAGGAGAAAAAGTAAAAATTGAAGAAATGAAAAACATCTCATTCTGCATTGCTTCGCGAGTAGCTTAATGGCTGAGACATTGCGTTCTTTTTCTTGTAATCACCCACCTCATTTGTGATTGTGTAAATTTTTTATTACAAATTGAGAAAATGCTTTATGTACGTCATCTCAAATTGATTAGATAATAGTCAGCACAGGACGCGAGCAAATGCAAGTAAATACGTTAATATATACATATATATGTATATGTACTAATCATATTAATTAGGAGTTAATTTATGGTATTATAGAGCAGCATTTATTGTATTATAGTAAGCACATACACGCACACAATCGAACTTTTGAGTTTGCCACGTTTTATACTCTCTGATTCGCTGATAAAACAGGGTCGTTACTGCGCTCAAAACTCAAGCAGCTGCTTCTCCTATGGAAATTTTTTTATTTGTATTTAATTTTTTGCAAGTTTTAAAAGCATTGAAAAGTAAACATAAATCTTGCACGTGACATTGGCATACAAGTTTTTGTATTATTACAACACAAGTAAAACAGATTCTTGCGCACATGTGTATGTACACTTTACTATTATTTTGTATGTAAATTTATCTACTACTATTTTGATACTGAGTTTGCGCAGGCATGTGGATGTGGGTGCAAGTATGCGTGTGCATCTGACTGTGTGTATGTGTGCTTATTGTATTGAGTACATTGTATGCGCGTGAAGCGTGTACTGAAATCGAAATAACGGGCACAACAATAACAGTGTGCACTGATAAAAACTTAAAAAGCAACGCCCATTGTGTGCGATATTATATTGACAGCCAATGAGTCAGAATCCATCACAATTTTTGAGCTGTATCAGTCGACTGACTACAGTGCATCATAAAAGCGAGCTGGCAGCTTGAGTGCTGCTAAAACTCACTCGCTCGCTGTTTTCCTCTCTTCTTGTGATCGTGCCAGCACTTCAATGGCGTTGCCAGACATTGTACATACATATATTCAAGCCGCTTGCAATTCACAGTCTTAGATTTGTTCACTACTTTATTGTATTTAAATCTCAAAAATGAATTATATTGTTGATTTTAATTACATAACCGTTGCGATATCATTGTTGCCATGTCACAAAGACGTCTTAGCGCTATCTAAAAATGTATATACAACGCAACGCTAATCACCAAAGTAAATATTAAAGCAAAGCAAACTCTGAGTTGTTGGTTTTTATTTTCAGGGAGGGGGAAATCACAAGACTGAATTTGATGCATGACATAATAATTATGTCATTGACTTGTGTCTTGTTTATTTATCCAGTTATTTTAAATAGGTTACAAGCTTTATTTCGTATGTACGAAACTATAACTGTAAAACTACCTAAAACATTTAGCATTGAGCCAATCTGTAAAAAGGCGCGTGCTACTCTTTAATTCTATTCTTCTTCGCTTTCGAAAAGAAAACATGGCTCATTTATCTTATCGCCAGTCAAGTTATTGGTAAATAAGCCCGTGCTACTTATCAGCTAAGGTAGGTGGAATATACTTGTATGGTATTCGATGATAAGCCATAGAGAAAAGAAACCTAGGCATGTGATGCCTCCTGGTCATCGAGTCGATTGATCATGCAAGGGCTTATGAGGCAGAAGAAGGAGGTAAGAAGTGGCATGTGATTACGTTTTATTGTGATGATTGCTATTGTGCTTTAAAAACTAACAATGCAGCTCGATTTATCATGTGCTTACGTTGTGAACATCGTGATCAGATATGAGTTGAAAATCATGTTTATTAACCTATTTAATATGTTAATTTTCATGTTCCTCATTCCACGTGATGAAAATATTGCATTTGATATCATATTAGCCTCTATATTCCACTCCCTTAACTATCAACATTTGCCTAACCGCTTATCTCCGGAAGCCCCATGCGTGCAGTTACGCTCTTTTTCTTTTTTACATTCATTTAAAAGACAAAGCAAGAAAAAATACTTCAGTATGGCAACCCCAAAAAGTTGGTCTTGTGACTTTGTGAGAGGTAAGCGCGCAAGCTTCGCGTCACAAACTTCAAATGTAATCTTGCACTCAATCTCACTCACACATAGAATTGAGAGAACAATGGCAATGCTCTACAGAAGAGCGTGCGCAATTCTCTCGCTCTCTGCCATATGCTCTTTGCATTTATACGCCGCTCACTGGCTTTTGCTGTGTGTATGAGTAATGCCGTTTTTAGCATGTTGAAAAAATAAAAGCTGAAAATTTTTTATTTCGATGCTGCCATTTTTGTTTTTGCAACTAAGCAATTAAATGCGCATAACGTCTATACAAAATTTGAATATAATTGAATTTGCTTTTATGTAATGTAATGTGGCTTACTATTCTGTCTAAAATATGGAACTTTTTCCCCTCTTTTTTGCTAGTCACGCGCATTGCGAACGAACTAAAACTCAACACAACACATGTACGACTGCGGTTATACATGTATGCATGTATGTGTCCGACTAAGAGTGTATTGAATTTTTGTACACTTGCCGCCGCCACCGCCACCGCCTGCTGCCATTCGTCAGCAACAAACAAGCCTACGTACGTACATACAGACAGGTACTTTTTTTTTTGCTGACTAGATGTTCTTCTAGCGTTTACGCCATACAATGTTCGATTTTTCTACGCGTGCAGCGCTGTGTATCCCTTTTGTGTACAAGTTCTGCCATTTTGAGGGTATTTTGTAGATGACGAACTGGTTAAAACTTACCTGAGAAGATGATGGCGGATGCAGCGCCCATAACACCGAAGAAGGGGCCATAGATGGGATTGTCGATGCTCGTACTTGAAGACATTTTGCTTTGTTTTTTGTTGTGTGTTTTGGGCTACAAGATGAAAATTTAAATTTATTTTTTTTTATTGATGCTTTTCGTTTGTTTCACTTTGCTCTTTTATTTATCGGCGCGTTTTGCTTTGCAAATTTGAAAAAGTATTTTTATTACATATACAATATATGTATGTACATAAAATATTTTCTTGCGCTACTTTTCGAACCACAATGCTGCTACGACGACGTACGATTTGTGAGTGAGCATGCCGAGAAAGAGGGCAAAAACGCTCGCCGCTTGCTCACAATTATTGAATTTTATCTCGAGACTCAGAGTGCGTCTCTGAGAGCCCTTGTGTTTAGTGTGTCGAAGTCATGTGCATTTGTGTGTGTGTGTTTGAGCGCATGATGAAATGAGCTCAAAAGAGTCCAATTGGCAATGACAAACTTGCTGGAAAATTACACACATGCACACAGTCACATGAGTTATTTCAAACTTAGTTTTCGAACACAATTTACAATATTTGAGAGTTCTTTTCATTTTAAAAGCAAATTCTTTTCGAACTGAGTCAAATTTATAGCTTTCTCTCACCGCGCACACTCTTACAACTACATACATGGACCATTCATTGCCATTGGTGTGTCTGCATGAGTGTGTGTGCGTGTCGTGGCAGAAAATACTATTGTACCAATTTTTAGGACTTTTTTTTTGCAATTTTCTGTATGTAATTTGCTTTTATTTAGTTCGCAAGTTGTCGCGGCAGCATCGTTACTACTTGACATGAATTTTTTCGATAGAGCCTCACATGACTCGATTGTTTCTTTTTTTCACTCACGTGATTAGAAATCTAATTTAAAGCAACTCGCTTCTGTGGCTGGCCTTTCGGGTTTATTGGTGGCTGCTGCTGCTGCTATGCGACTAAAGCACGCTCTGCTTTTGGATACGGCACTGAACTCCTACGGTGCGTTTTCGTTTTCTTTTATAAACTTTAGTCACGGGGGCGGTTTTCAGCGCTGCTGTTTCATGTCTTATCGATGTTATTGTCGACTTTCAGCACTGGATATGTACCACCACGACAGAGCGCGATTTCCGTTGGTATTTTATGAACATACCAAAATTTTGATATTCATTTGGTATTTAGTATATTATTATATTATATTATGAACATACCAAAGTTTTGATATTCATTTGGTATTTAGTATATTTAGTAAAATTGATTAAAAGTAACAGTTTTTATATTTAAAATTTAGTTATTTTTGTGTGGCCTTAGTATTTTTCTAAAGCTTTGGATAACAGCGAGTTCATATTAGTGAGTAACATTCGTGGATCTTCCGCGAGGCCTGCGCCAACCATCGCATTGGCAAACAGTTGCTTGGCGATCAGTTCCGCCAGTTCTGGTTCGCTTGCACGCAAGGAAAACAACTTCTTTATGATGGGATGTCTGTGGGAATATAATCGATAAATCAAAAAAGCTTAGGTATATACATTGGAGACTCACTTGGGATTGATTTCCAGCTCTGGCTGAAGTAAGGCAAAACGATTCTCTTCAGGAAGCTGGTGGCTTTGAGTGCGTATGAAATGTCGTGCAGCGGCCATTTCCTCAACGGTGATGACACAAGGATGTGTGTCCAGGCGCGTAGTAGCCTTTACTTTAGCCACCTGACCCTTGAGCTGGCTCTGCAGCCAGGGCAGTAGGCTGTCCACTTCAGCGCTGCTAAGGCTGCCCTCTCCAAAGTCCTGCAGAGCAGCCGGGTCCTGCGACTGGTTGCGCATCTCTTTCTCAACGGAGACCAGTTTCTTGTTCTTGTACTGTGCCAGCTGCATGAGCACTAGTTCATCGTAGGGCTCATAACAGAAGAGCACGAGCTCGTTTCGCTTCTTGAGGCTTTCGTAGTAGGGCGAGGACTCGGCAAGGATGCGATTAGGGGCCGCCAGGTAGTATATATCCTTCTGGTCGGGACTGACTTCTTTGTAGTAATCGTCCAGAGAGATGCGACCTGTGGGCGATTTGGACGATTCGAAGCGCAACAACTTGGCGATTTCCTCCTTCTCTGAAGTGTCGCTGGACGTAACAATGCCCTCCTTTAGGAACAGTCCATAGTCGCGATAGAACGCCTCATATTCCTCTGGCTGCTTCTTTGCGCGCTCCTGCAGAAAGCGGATGACACGGCTGGAGATAACAGAGGATAGCTTGCGGATCAGACTATTATTCTGTAGCAGTTCACGGCTCAGATTCAGGGGAATGTCCTCAGAGTCGACCACGCCCTTGATAAACCGCAGCCACTTGGGCAGCAAATGCTCCGTCTTGGACTGGATCAGCACCTTGCGCGTGTACAGGGCGACGCCCGTGGCTCCGTCGCGGGACATCTCGAAAAGACCGGGCTTTCCTTCCGGGAAGTAGAGCAGTGCATGGATGCTCAGTGGAACATCGGCGTTGTAATGCAGTGTGAAGCGCGGAGAATCGAAACTGTTGCTTATGAAGCGATAGAAGTCTTGGTGCTGCTCCTTGGAGATGCTCTGCGGGTCCATTAGCCACAGCGGCTTGATCTCATTTGCTTGCTTGCCGTTCAGCAGAATGGGCGAGCCCACAAAGTTGCTGTACTTCTTGATCACGGTGCGGATGCGGTCCTCGTCCGCATACTCGCGGCAGTCGGTCTTCAGGTGGAGAACGATCTTGGTGCCGTGCTCGGCCTCCTCAGCCTCCCTAATGGTATAGGTTCCGCTGCCGTCTGTGGACCAGCACAAGCCAACCGCGTCGGGAGTGGCTGCTCGCGTGTAAACCTCCACGCGCTGGGCAACTATAAAGGCGGAGTAGAATCCCACGCCGAATTGGCCAATTATATTGGAGCTGGCTTGGGCGGGTTGCTGCTGCTGCTTGAGCTCCTCGAGGAACTGCTTGGATCCGCTGCGTGCAATGGTGCCCAAGTTGTTGACAAGTTCCTCACGGGTCATGCCAATGCCCGTGTCCTGGATGATGAGCTGCATCTGCGGCTTGTCTGTGGTGATGCGAATTTCCAGTGGACGATCTCTCGCCGCCAACTGCCCTTCATTTGTTGTGCTTAGGGCTGTGTAGCGGAACTTCTCCAATGCATCGCTTGCGTTCGATATCAGCTCGCGCACAAACACCTCGTGGTCCGAGTACAGGGAGCGAGCGACAATGTCCAGCAATTGTCGTGTCTCTGCCTGGAACTCATGCTTGTCCAATTTCGAAGACTCCTGTGCAGCAGTGGCAAGCCGACGTTGCGGCAAAGCTGCAAGACAATGGCACATAAGTCATGCAGCTCTGCAAACTTAATGTCAAAGCTCTCACCTGTCCTCGGTGATTGCAACTCCTGCAGAGGCAAGCTTAAGGCAAAGGTCGCCGCCCGATGCGCTTGCCGGCATACCTGGGTCATTCGACGTGTCCTTAAGAGGAGACCGTAAGCCCGCAAACTCATTATTAATTGATTTATTCACTGCACTGTCTGATCAAAAACACTGAAAACTTGGTACAATTTGTAATTTGTAATCTGTTAAACAAAGTTGAAATGTAAGTGTTATTTAACTCTCTGAGCGCACATGTGTCTATTCTCGATAGATTGTTATCGATTATTTATATTCCTTGCTTCTACTCCATTAGCTAACACTGGCTTTTAAATGAGTTTCCCTGGTAAATTTTGTAAATAAAAAATAGTTGTTATATATTAGCGGTAAACAATATTTATTAGAGTTGTACTCAACTAATACTTTGTTTATTCAAGTGTTGATTTCCTTTAATTTTTTTTACCACTATTTAAAGCAGAAACTTTTGTTTACAAACTTAATGTTTTGTATTCACAAAATAGAGTTTGTTCAAATTTTTTATTTTAGTTTTCATTATGGCTATAATATACCTATTGTAATAATTTGATAATGTACAAATAGCATTTGACCTAAAAGCGATTGCCCATGCGACATTCTTATCAGCAGCTTAGAATTTCGCGTATATATAAATAATTTAGAACCAAGCAATTAGTTTATAATTTATGTTGCTGAAAGCAACGCCTGATAGCGCTATGCATTCATTTAAGCATTTATATGTGCTTCTAATATTTGTTATAATTTTATCTATTTCCCTTTCCGACGACACTTTAAATGAAGAGGTAGGTAATTTGATCGTATTTAGTGAATCTATAGTTAAATCGTTCCATTTGTAACATAGCCTAATCAAGAAAATCAGTGCGCGCAGTATTGTTTAAAGGTTTTCCTGTGGAATAGCGTGACAATGCAACAGAAATTGGAAGCATGTGACAAAAAGAATTCGCAAATAGCGGCTTTGCAGAGCCAGTTGGCCGTTTTGAAATTGAAGGAAAAAACTTATGAAAGAACAATCATAGATAAGGACGAACAGTGCAAGAGCGAAGCACAGCTGTACGATGAAGTCTACTCCATTAGGAAGAAAGTGGAAAATCTGGTAAACCAAGCGGGCAGGGAAAGCAAACACCTTGTGGAATTGTTAAAGCAACTGGAAGCTTACAGGCGGGCAATAGAGATGAAGGATGAGCGAATAAAGTCCTTAGAGTCAACTTTACAGATCAATAGCTTAATGCTGGAGACTTGCAAGACGAATCTTTCTTCGAGTCCAGCGGCACTTATGATAATGGACTCCAAGCGAGAGATCCAAGCGAAAGTTTACGAATCAAGTTGCATAAACATTGGAAACTCCTCAGATATATGGGAAATCAAAGTACCAGGAATTGAGCCGTTTCCGGTACCTTGCGATGGACGTATTGCAGGTCCTGGCTGGACAGTGATTCAGAGACGCGTGGATAATGCCGTGGACTTTAATCGAAACTGGCAAGAATATAGAGATGGATTTGGTGATCTCGATGGCAACTTGTTCATCGGTTTGGAGAAAATCTATAGAATGACAAATTCCAGGCCACATGAGCTGTACATTCATCTGGAAAATTTCAATAATACAATCCGCTTTGCTCGTTACAATAATTTCAGTATAGGCAGTGAAGAGGATGCTTTCCAGCTGAAGGTTTTGGGAAGATTCTCGGGAGATGCCGGTGATTCCCTCAAATTCGAAAGAGGTATGAAATTCACCACATTTGACCGGGATAACGACAATCGGAGCTTTGACAACTGTGCAATAGAGCGAAACGGAGGATGGTGGTACAATCAATGCTCAAGAGCGTAAGTATAAAATATAAATAATTTTGAATAAATTTAATTAAAGCACAAATTGTATTTAATTTACACAATTTAAACTTAGAAATTTAAACGGAAGATACTTGAAATATGAGGAGGACAAATGGGATGGCATCTGGTGGTGGAGTTGGCAAAAAAGCATTACTCTCAAATCAGTTCAAATGTTGATTAGACCAATCACAAAAAAATAAATAAAAATATA